TTCAAAAAGCGAGAAAGTGTCGGGTGCAGACCAAACACCACAACTGACGACGGCCTCCAAGTAAATCTGGTTAGAAGTGGTTCATAGTGATAGCTGATTTCTGGTAAATGATAGTTGTAATTAGTGACAACTGATAGAATACAACTGCAACAGGCTAATCATTTCATTGGCAGAAAACATTAACATTTTGTGAAGGCCGTCGTCACTTGTGGTGCATGGTCTGCACCCGACACTTTCTCGCTTTTTGAAGGGAGGGTACCTCCTCTTGCAGCCATACATAAAGGCGTTCAACTCTTCTCTCTGTACATATTTCCTCCTCACATTAAATCCACTGAACCACCGCGAGGTGACAATAAAAGGGTCCACATAACCCTAAGTCTGTAGTCACCCGCAACACGCAGTTACTAAATTTCTTAATACGATTCCTCAACTCAACCCCTCCCTCTAAATACTATCTGCGCTTGACCGTGGATTGAACGCTTAATGCCGGTTTTTATTGTGACTTGTCAGATTGCTAAGCTAATTCAGAAAACAATCGATCTCACAGAGACATGCACGATGGAAAGCAGTTGAGCGAAACGAAGTGAACTGCTTTTCAGCACACCAGCCTATCGATCAAGCTACCGGACGACCGATCACAATTTCACGAAAAATAAGAAGAAGGAAAAGGAAACGAAAAAGGAAACAAAATGAAGAAATGACTTCAAAATTTATGCAGTTGCACCAAGTGGTCGATTCTCACGAACAAGCTCGCCTTCAACAAGAAAAAAATTGTTCAAAACTTTAAGCATAATTAAGAAGTCTAGTTTTTTAAACGGATCATTAGGCAATGTGATGAATATGCTTGGAAGAGCTATGAGAACTGGATTTGGAACGGAGCGTCCTCGAAGAAGGGCGTTGTGCATACATAAGAGCACCCAGCCAGAGTGTAATATTACGCCTTGAACGTTCCGTTCAAAATGTTCGAGTGTGAATTAGTCCAGAAACAATAAAAATCAATGTAAAAAAAGGTGGTATGGAGTAGTGATTACTAATTGGAAAGACGGGAAAAACAGGTTCTCAGTAAAAAAAAACAGAGGGTGGTGGAGGAACTTCTATTGAATGACTTGATTACTGTGAATGGAGAACACAATCGATCTCTGGTGCATGTTCAAGAGTATGGTTCACTAGAAGAGAAGGCAAACTTTCCGCTTCTCACTCGCGAAACTTTTATCGCGGCAGATCCCCAGGTCTACCTTATCAGTGGTGGACTTGAAAATCCCGCAGCGGAGAAAATTTCGCGTTGCGAAGAGGGAAATTCGCTTTCTGCCCTGGTGAACCACAAGCTATGGTCAAATTTTCAGTTATCAACATAGTCAAAGAGTAATATTAATAGTAAAACAAAATAATTATAGTGGCTCAGTGAAGACTTGCAAATCGCCACGAAATGAGGAAGTTATACAACAGCAAAGATATCCAGAAACATAGACAAGAATCCCTCCAGAAAGACACTACCTAGTCTAAGATGGATGCGTGTCGCTGTTAGGCCGATGTCAGACTTTGCGCGATTCGCTAGCGTCCGCGGTCGCGTTGCGGTACCAGCCAATTGAGTGATTCACTGGCCGCGACGCGACCGCAGACGCTAGCGAATCGCGCGATTCGCAAAGTCTGACATCGGCCTTACATAGAGCTTTAAAGACGAAAGTAGCTATAGAATTGATGATCTTAAAAAGATTGATGGACAATGGAGAGGGTCGAGGAGGGTTCAAATAGGCGATATGTGGCGCTTTGATGGCAAAAAGCATGCAAGTTCGCTTTCGCGTACGGGTGATTCTTCTGCGCAGTACCAGTACACATAATTATAATATATCGATAAAATATGAAATAACTAATATGATTGCAAAAGACTATTTATTGCAGTGGCCCCTGAATAACCAACAGCAGTGGATAACTCGCACAATATTGAAATTAATGGGGGAGAAGAGGCTGCCATGTCTCGGATTTTAGCATTTTCCTTGTTTGTTTGTTTCTCACAGAAAATAACATAGCGGATGCCGCACTTGAAAGAAGTCCTGTGGATGAGCGTTCCCAACAAATTTCACTGAAAATCAGCAGAGCTTGCTGGAAACAGGTTATCCATGGGACTTCTATCAAGCTTGGCGGCCGCCACGCCAAATCCGTAGACACGCCAACTCCGACGACGAGATTTGGAACGTTTGACCTGACCTCAGTGAATACTACCTTCACCTCCAGATAGCTTATGAAGAGTACTCCTCCTATAAATTCTCACCTCTCACCAGTTCTCTAGGTTAAAAAGGGGACTGAGGTACTGGAGGACAACTACACACGGTCACTTAGAACCACAAGAACATTTTTGAGATAAACGCCTAAAAAAAGTAATATTTATGTAGTGAGCAGCTTGGGCTAAGCATCAGAAGGAGATTCCAAGATGTGCGAACAATTTCCTTTTCCCCGCTCCTTCATTCCCCTTTCAAGGCTTAGTACTACGTACTCACTAAGTGAACATTACATACTTTGAGCGTTCACACAACCAGAACGAGAACGGGTAAAACATAAAAAAGACTCAAAATTGTGAGGGAATAGAGCTGCCAAAAGTTCGTACTTTAAAAAATGCGCAAAATCGGGATTGGAGCAGTTCACGCGAAATGCTGTACAGTGATGCCCCTTTTGGTACGCACACTCAGGGACTGTTCCATCAAATTGGATGGCGTTGAATTCAGACAAGCTATCAACCGTACTTCTGCTCCCTACCAAGAGTTCATGAACCGCAGACAATCAGCCAAATCCCAAGTTGGTTGGCGATTTCTCACACAGTAATTCAGGCGTGGGGATGACATGGTAGCTTCATTTACCACTGCCAAAAGTGCATACGATGACTCAACAACCTACTCACTGGAGATGAGGAATGGACTTTAGCGTAACGCTAAGATAGAACAGGTCCGAACAGGGTCAACCGAGGCATACGCACTTTTCCAAAAACTTGCGATCTCCCCATTTAAGGGGTCTATAAACGACCGCCTTCCTCCACCCCGACTACCACCCTACCTTCATAGCTGTTTACACGGTATTTGACTCTAAGACCAGTCGACTCACCCACTACTTCCCTCTTTTTTCTTTTTCCCTAAAAATAGCCGTCGATCGCGGGGGGAGGGGAGGGTGAGGTAAGCAAACCAGCCCTTTTCGTATAACTTCCAAAACTCTGTCATAAAAAGCGTCTAATAAACCTCAATTTTCCGACTCCCTCACACTATTTCCATGGGTTTAGTTACCTTGCTCACTCTAAAAGAGATTCCCCGGGCTATCGTCAAACACAGGACATTGTGGTGGCAATGCATTTCAAATCGCTTGAAACATCTCCTTTCTGTCGAAATGAGATTAAGGATCAAATGAGATTAGGTAAGAAGAAGTGGTTCCAGACTGAGAGGAAACAATTTTATTTCCTCAATGTTCCTGCCTCCTCTGCGTAGTCTGGGCCGTATGCTATCCTCCCCGAAGGGGTTGGGGACGAAAATCCTTTAAATTTTCTCTGTCTTCCCAACTGGGATTGCCCTGATAAAGGGCCTACATTTAATGTGTATGTAGGTTAAAGTAAACATGCACTGAAAATGAAGAAACTATATCGTTCAAAACAAATAAATTTAAAGGAAACTTTGGATCACCTAGCTTCGGGGAAGCATAGCATACGGCCCTAGAGGATGCCCTCCTATCTTGCGAAAGCGCCCCCTCCTAAGATCGCAAATGCGACCTCCTCGTTCGAATATGTAGTGCGAACGAGCGGTTGCCCGTGGGTCCGAGTGCATACGAAACCACATAATGACTCATTCGTGGTTTAGCATGAGGAGAGCCTACTGAACGAAAGTACGGTCTAGTGACAGCCGATGTTTACACTGCTCAGCTACGAAAGTTGAGGATGAATCTAGAGAAACACTTGAACTTCAAGCACGTGTGTACTTCCAGCATGGCATTGCCAGACCACCCAGTGCAAGGGTGACAAGTAATAAAACGGTGACACATGGCTGCGCCATCTTTCCTCACCTCCCATACTCTAGAGGCTTTACTTCGACTTTTCCGAACCTTTAGCACCATTTGGAGGGAGAAAAATTCAATGACATGACCGAAGAAGCGATTGCTTTCATAGGGATCAACCACCTCAATAAAAACGTCTACAACTTTGCATTTACGGAGGATTTATTTATGCCAACGGGTTATATTTTGAAAACTCCTATTGCACTTTGAAATTCGTGAGGAATGTTTTGTGCCTAAGTCCTCAGCACCTATTTGTCAGCTCAATGTTGTGCTGTAAAGTGTTACGCAAAAAACCGAATATTTCTATGTATGAGAATTAAGAGCTCCGACTGGATACTGATATTGAAAAAATACGAATCGATTGAAATTAGCAAATTCCAAGGTGGGCATGGCACAGATTCTTCAGTGATGACAAATCGATAACAATCGTCACGTCTATCAAACTTGTGACTCAACAGGCACGATGAGTAACGGTCGAACAAAAGCAAAGAAATGTGGTATTGATCGAGTCGATCTGTTGGCGAAGAGCCGTTCTCGACAACTTATCGATTACTTAACAAAACCCACGCGACCACTCATGCTGCTAACGTTCTTCACTTTTAAATCTTCTACGGCAGTGTTTAATTCCTTCAGCTACTTATGTTATTTCCTTACTAGTAGCGCTTAAATATCGATTTTTCATTTTTTTTTCGATTTGCCCACATGCAATTCGGTTCACGGCACGACAAAAAGCAGATACAGACCATATCGAAGTAGTCTCGCAGTATTTGAATAAAAATCGATCTACGAGTGCTATGCAGAAAAGTACTTTTTAAAATTACTTCTCTGCTATCGAATAAATATTTTTACGAGCAATTGCGCTAACAAATATGAGTGATTACTAGTAAATGGTGAGTATCAAAGAGGAAATTATGGCAAGATCCTAAAAAAATCACTTAAATAATCAAAAAAACATAATTGGGAACGATTTGAACATGTTGTGTGAAGTGACGGCAGCACAATTGCCGTTGGTTGTCGACACGACGACGGGAACAAGAACAAACCAATCGATACGTGAAGCTAGTCGTCGGCGGCATCAGCACTGGCAAACCAAAGAAGAAAAAACTAAGCGTCCGTCTGATGTTTGACAGTGATTTCAATAGCTGTCTTCAAGGCATTAATCATAGTTTTCCTCCTTTCACGTTGTCCATTTGGTCCTGAGTGGATCGACGGCTGTACAATGCGCTACGCGCCAATTACCGCAGACTATGTTTCAGTACAACTTATTTTGTTAGTAGATCGTAATCAATTTTTTTTGTTGTATCACCACTTTTTCATGTTTTTGGTGGTCCCTAGTGAGTTTTCCGTGAATGAAGTGGAACATCACGTTGTCCCTTTGGCATTGTTTGGTGAAATCAGTTATATTTTAATTCTCTTTGAGAAATCAGTTGTGTGGGGCATTTATCATAGTGTAGTTATCAATGTTGGTGGTCTGAAACTGATAAGGGATTCCACAGACCACATGACTAGTTGTCATTTGTCACGTTTCGCAATTACACTTGTTTATTTTATTCGGTTTGAATATCATCCGTTGCGGTGATCATTGATCTATAGCCATCTGTGGAAGTTTTTGATTCCAATAGTTTATTGGAGTTTGCTAGCCCGATCCATCTTCTTCGAACAAATCGTTCAACCGTTCCCGATCGAAGAAGATATCCCGTTGCCCGCTTTCATATGTTCGAAAGGCCGATATCCTCTTATTTCGAGTCTTTGAACACGATTACCATCTTCGGCTAGATACCTATCTTTCCGAACTCCGTTTCCATTCCCAATCCACGCAACGTCCTCTAGTTTCAGGCGCGTTCATTCGATTGATTTATAGAACAATTATTCGACTTCTCCGATCGAATGGATTGAACTCGACTCGACTAGAAGGTCCACTGCATTGCACTTTATCGCATGTAGTAAAGCTTTCCCGCAGATGCCTATCGGATTCATACTTACTTTTTCTTTTCCCTTGCGTATACTTCATATCCAACGCGAAAGTATATCTGTTATGAAATGTATGAGTATCGATCTTGCTGATCTCGCCATTACTCTTTGTCGTTTAATATGAAAACATTTATTCACTTTTCAATGTTTAAAAATCGTTTCCATTTTCTAGATTCCGACACGGCTTCTATGAGAGCTTCTTTGTCGTGTAACTCAGGTTATTCATCGCTTTTTATTTATTATTTTTTGTTTTGTTCTTGAAGTAGTGTAATGGAATTATACACTTACACTCGTGAATAATAACGTTGTGTACCTAAGAATTCAGAATCGGAGGGCGACTTCACTGACGAGAACGTTGGCCTCATCAGTAAAACGAAGAAAAAGGGCAAGATTGTGAGTCATTCGTATTATTCTTCCCGTTTTGCAGACAATGGGGCTTCCATAGGGAAAACGTTCGTTCGATACGCTTTCGAATGACTTGTTACGAGTTGTGGGCGTGCATATGTGAGAATAATTTCATATACATTTTTATTGGCGATACACACTCCGTTTTTCCCATCCATCAAATCGTTCCATACTGATGAATTGATGTCGGTTTCAGTTACCGGTTTAGTTGATTTCTTTCGTCTATGAACTAGACATTTGAACGAGGTTTTCAATTTTTCGACGAAATGTAGACAATCGGTCTGTTTGAATTTGTTGAATAGTTCGGAATCTGGTGGGCGTGCTATGTTCACTTCCATACTTTTCTGTTTATTCAGAATGTTCCCGGATGCATTGTTGTAGTATTGATCCGTTTTCGTACATTTTGGGAAATGTGCGGGGTGCGCTTTCCATCAGAGCTGCATATGCTGTACAAACGTAATCTCGTTAAGCGCTGTTCAAGCTTAAAGTGGCGTCACAGGTCTATTAGGTCGTCTCGCTGGCGCTTTTTAATCTGGGTTTTGGTCGAATAGGAATGTATTTTATCCCACTGGAGCAGTTTGTCACAGCAAAGTAAACTAAATCAGTTTTGGCGTGCCATATCCCGCTCGATAACTATGTCTCTTTCGCAACCCTTCTCGAACAATATTGGATTTCGCAAGAAATGATTGTATCACTCTTCCGTCGTGTTTTTCGTGCTTTGTTGCTTAGTGTTACCATTGCAGTTAGAGCGAACCCCGTTACTACATCGCCCAATGTCATCAGCTGACCCAGTCACGGTCGAGTTTGGTCGTCGACTTGAGCGAGAAAGTGAGGAGCATCATGCCTCTAGTGACGATGAAGGAGCTAATACTGGTATTGGCAGTTTTCTATTGTGCTATTTTTTACAGTTTTTTTTTCGCATTGTTTACATGTTGATTAGCAGTCAATACGGCCAAATTAGTCGCAATAATTAGTGGAGGTGCACTTGCGCGTCCCCTCCATTGTGAAAACTTGGCCTGAAGCATACAGCTGGTTTTTGAGCGATGATTTGAACTGAAACGAACCGAATGTTTGCAGAGTTCCCATACATTTTCCAGGGGTTTGTAAACCTTTCAAGTGACGTTTGTTGAAATCCGCATCACATGGCGAGACAGTGAACGTTAACCTTTGAAAAGAAGCTCACTGAAAAGCAGGGGCGCTTTGCCTTCTGAAACTTTGTGTTCCTTTGTGAACAAGGGCGTTTATATTTTTAAGAGGAAATTGAAGTGAACGAGTCACACGCAGAGCTTGGGATTAAACCTGAGGAAAGGGAGCATATTCTGGGGGATACCATGAGCAACTTTTGTTCGCCTGGCGTTTCTCTCCTTTCCAGGCCTTGATCCTAGTGTCACCCACCAGCGGTTTTTGAATGCCCCCACTCTCTAAGGACATGAGCGCCTAAACAAGTTTGATGCGATGAAAAAATTCTCTCCCCAATTAAACGTGCATTTGGAGAATCTGAATTTGCCCATGGTCGTTTGCTTGCGAGAGTTCTATTATTTGCAAGGAGTCTTAAGACTATGGCTGACGCATAAATTTGTGATAATTTCTCTGTTCATTCCTAAAAATCACTAAGTACTCTAATATAAGATTTATAGGATAATATAAGTGTGTTTTCACTGGTTTACTTGCTTCCAACTTAGGTGCCATCGAGCTCACCGCATGGGTATCCGAAAATGAGAATTTGCCCAAGGAAACTTTGAGTGATCCATGCAGTGAACAGTGTACCAAAGTTGAGCTGCTATTTTCGTTTACAATTACTGTAATTCCAAAGATTTGTTGAGTTTTCAAAAAAAAGACGTGTGGGGGTTGTGAAGATTCCAGGGGTATCGTTTTATTATTTCCTTTCGATTTATCGCTGTTTGGCTGGGTGCCTTTCAAAATTCGGTTTGCATGCCCGCAGCTTCTTAGTGCTCCAAGCTAACTATCACGAGTTTTTCATTTGCAGGAGAACAATATGGTAGCACCACGGGTGCCGATTTCAAGGCTGTGGTGGATGAAGCGATACGAGCTATACATAACGGAGTTTTTCCTGAACGTATTGCACAGGGCTCAAGTGGCTCATACTTTGTGAAAAATATGCAAGGGGTAAGCCTTACAACTTCTTTGAACACTTCCAAGTTTTCCTCCTACATTTCTCTGCATACTTTGTAAAGGTTGTTGCTGGTGAAAGAAGTTCTTTTCATATTACTACATACATATTACAATTTACTTGCGCGGTACCATAGTGGTAGTAAGGCAGTCACCTTTGGGTCAAGGGCCTGCTGCTAACTAATGAAGGGACTAAGAAGGGTGTTCGCGAATTCTGTCGTTAGCACCTCACCGATGTTAAGCATGTGGTGATGGTCACGATTCGACGCGGAAAGTCTGTTGGGAGAGAGGAGTGTTGCAGTAATTAGCGGTCAAAAATTTAAACAGGGCCAATCACCATAGTAATCTCGAGCCAAAATAAATAATGCTGTATCTTTCAGAAAATCATAGGTGTTTTCAAACCGAAGAACGAGGAACCATATGGTCATTTGAATCCGAAGTGGTTGAAATGGTTTCATAAGATATTTCTACCGTGTTGTTTCGGAAGAAGTTGTCTCGTCCCAAATCAGGTTGGTTAATTTGCTTTATTTCAAAAATGGACAGTAAAAATTTTCAGCGTGAGGTTGATTCATTTTCGTGCAGGTTAGTTTGTTTACCTCTGTTCTGTTGTTTCTTGGTGTTCGTTCGTTCATGTTTAATTCCACGAGTCATTTTTCAAAAATCGCTAATTCTCTTTGCCATCGCTCATTGACGATGTCGTTTCATGTGTCTTCCATTTATTACGATACGTTCGTTGTACCTTTTTTTCGATTTCATCGCCGATTATGCTCTTAGTATTTGCATACTTTTATCTTGAGAATAATCTCCAGAAAGATTTCATATAATCTGTGGTTCGCGTAATCTGCTGCACTCTTTCGTTTCTATCCATACAAGCACTATTGGTCCATGGTTTGGGTCACGATTGATGCAGATTTTCAGGTGGGTCATTATTAAGGGTGCATTCTTGTTACCCATGTTTTAGTAATCATTAGGCTTTTCTTACTTGTTTATTTTAAGTTGTTTAACTAACTGTGGACTCACGCCTGGCGTGGCTGGATAGGGAACATTGGTGAGTTATGGTTCTAAAACGCTGGCAGATGACAGTAGTGCTAACCAAAGGGAAGAGGAACGCCAGGAGATAAAATATGTTCACATTTCAAGAAATTGCTACATCTCACGGTTCCCTTTTCTGCCGTAAGGTTTAGGCCAAGCCACGTGTAATAGGTACTCACGGTTGTCTAACCCGTCACCCGCCTAGCGAGATGAGTGTCCAGTTCTTGTTAGGATGAAACCTATTTGGATGGCGGGGATGTTTGTATCGGGGTTTTAGAGGTTTTTCTGAGTTAGTTTGACTTCGTTTTCTATATATTTTTATTTTTGTTATGTGAGGGAGAAAACTTGGAAGAATGTCATCAGCAAGCAGCCGGGACAGTGTGTCCATGATAGTGAATGACATAATGGTAGCTGATTTTTGATATCGAACAAGGTTCGGTGATTGTCGACTCGTTTTTGGTCTGTGATTCTAATGGAGGTATGAATAGATTGTTTAGGCATGTATATGTCGGTATTGAAATAAATTGAAGATATTGAAGGCTGCTCTAGATATGTGATTATGCTTTGGCTTCTTTTATCTGCTCTTTCAAGTACGGATTATCGGAGGAGCCGTGGGACTTCTCTTAGCTTTTTAGGTATGGCTTATGAATTGGACTGAATGGCATTTTGGAGGACAATGCACGATTTATGTGAACAGGCAATATCGGATTGCAGCGATTGTGAGGGAGTTGCGTTAAGTTGCGATTGAAATTGCGGGTTTAAGACGAGTTTTTGTAGCCCCGTCACCCAATTGGGATAGAAATAATTGCATAGATTTGTGTAATTATTGTAAGATCCGTGTTGTGGCAACCAAGGAGGATGCTATTTATGAAGTGCTTTTAATGTATATTTGTGGCTTATTAGTTTGCACCGTGAACTTTGAAGCAGAGCCATCCCGAGATGTTCATTGGTCATTTTGTGGTTTTTCTTGAGAATATCTAGAAGAGTTAATTCTTCTGTGTTTGCATAATTCGGGCTGCACTCTTTCGTTTCTATCCATACAAGCACTATTGGTCCATGGTTTGGGTCACGATTGATGCAGATTTTCAGGTGGGTCATTATTAAGGGTGCATTCTTGTTACCCATGTTTTAGTAATCATTAGGCTTTTCTTACTTGTTTATTTTAAGTTGTTTAACTAACTGTGGACTCACGCCTGGCGTGGCTGGATAGGGAACATTGGTGAGTTATGGTTCTAAAACGCTGGCAGATGACAGTAGTGCTAACCAAAGGGAAGAGGAACGCCAGGAGATAAAATATGTTCACATTTCAAGAAATTGCTACATCTCACGGTTCCCTTTTCTGCCGTAAGGTTTAGGCCAAGCCACGTGTAATAGGTACTCACGGTTGTCTAACCCGTCACCCGCCTAGCGAGATGAGTGTCCAGTTCTTGTTAGGATGAAACCTATTTGGATGGCGGGGATGTTTGTATCGGGGTTTTAGAGGTTTTTCTGAGTTAGTTTGACTTCGTTTTCTATATATTTTTATTTTTGTTATGTGAGGGAGAAAACTTGGAAGAATGTCATCAGCAAGCAGCCGGGACAGTGTGTCCATGATAGTGAATGACATAATGGTAGCTGATTTTTGATATCGAACAAGGTTCGGTGATTGTCGACTCGTTTTTGGTCTGTGATTCTAATGGAGGTATGAATAGATTGTTTAGGCATGTATATGTCGGTATTGAAATAAATTGAAGATATTGAAGGCTGCTCTAGATATGTGATTATGCTTTGGCTTCTTTTATCTGCTCTTTCAAGTACGGATTATCGGAGGAGCCGTGGGACTTCTCTTAGCTTTTTAGGTATGGCTTATGAATTGGACTGAATGGCATTTTGGAGGACAATGCACGATTTATGTGAACAGGCAATATCGGATTGCAGCGATTGTGAGGGAGTTGCGTTAAGTTGCGATTGAAATTGCGGGTTTAAGACGAGTTTTTGTAGCCCCGTCACCCAATTGGGATAGAAATAATTGCATAGATTTGTGTAATTATTGTAAGATCCGTGTTGTGGCAACCAAGGAGGATGCTATTTATGAAGTCGCTCTTAATATATTTGGGCTTATTAAGTTTCGCACCCGTGAAAACTTTGCAAATGCAGAGCAATCGAGATGTCACATCTGCGCATTTTCTTTTATTTATTTACTTCGTTTTGAGAGTGTGATTGATCGGTATCTGAGTTATGTGTTAATTTACCTCTAAAGTGTGATTATGAACCTATGCAAATTCTGTCATGCTAGTTCAACCTTCTGTGGAACAAGGTCCAATATTTGATTTTCACAACTCAGCGTGAAATTTGCCGAAGAGGTGACAGATCTGCTGCATATTCATTTCCGTGTACGTTTTTGGTAAGCCCAGAAATCATTGAGATTTATACTCCAATTATAATAATGCGTCGTTTGCGTGACATGTTTTACAATCGCGCCACATTAACTACCCCTGGTCGTATGGTCGTACACATTTGGCAAGAGCCGTTATTTTGTGTATGGCTTTTCATCAAGATATGAATCTTAACGTCCCCGTCTCATGATGTCAAATTGCGGTGTTTAAGATGTACTGGCTATTTCAATATTTCAAGTGTTTGAACTGTTGTGAGCTCATTCGGAACAGCGCCGAGAAAGCGTTTCCGAAGGTAGGTAAGCTGAACATGGTACAGAGTGATCTTGTTTCGTTGTCGTAGGTGCTGCTTTTTTCATTTACTGCAATCTATATAATGTAGTCGAATGGACTCTTCCCCTTAATTACATTGTTTTTAAAAGTAGACTTAAAAATATTTGGTTCCTCACTGTAGTCGCTTCAATTCCATGTCCAATGGAAACGTACCGGTCTGCGATTTTAAATAATGGGTGTCCTATGCAGTGTAATTTACATAGCGCGCATCGGCCATCATCTAAAGCTGAACGAAAGGTTGATAGGCGTCGAGGTGTTGCCCAATCTGGCCATAAGTAATCTGGTATTTTCTTCTCTTTCCGTTAGTTTTCCATGTTTTGTTGTTATGCTTTGTAGTTCGAAGTTGCATGTTGTTGAAGGTCACAGTCTTGGCTTCAAGCCAACAGGATTGCTGTGAAATCATGAGTACTTCTAATGAAATGTCCCACAGAGGGCAGTTGAAGCACAATGCTTGCCAAGGGTGGATGGTAGGTCGAAGTGGCCGTTTGAACTATGATGCATATCACCCGAAAGGTTATCGAACTCTGACTCCAAAACTGTACTCCATATCTGCTGAACGATTCTCTGAACAAAGTTACGGAACTTGTGATACGGAGCAGACCCAAATTCAGCACGAATACGATACGCATGCATAGCTTGTATGTGGGACGGTGGCCTAGTGGAGTACTATGCCGGTCTCGTGATTGCAAGGTCAAGGGTTCGGGTCCCCATGGTGTGGCTTTTTTGCACTTTTTCAAAACTATGCTCAATACGTTTGCGAACCACTTTAGCACGCTTAGGGAACCTAATATTGCCGAAAACTGCTCCCCTCAACGGAATTGGATCGTTTAAGACAACGCCGTGGAGTTCCCTAGTTGCTCTTTTCCTCTATGCACTCAGCAAGTTAAGCTACTGAATTTTCTAAAAAAAAATCAACGGGGGTAGAATGGTATGATAAGGAAGTTCCTCATCAACATTCCGCTTAAATACCCAGTATACTTCCTCGCTAGTGCAACCTAGGCAAATTGGAGTTTTTAACTTTACTTCGAAAAAGTGCTGACGTGGTAGCCTTGGGCGTTATCGGTCTATTTGGGTTCTCGTCCGTTGGGAATTCTCTTTAAAATGTAAGTTTATAATTTTTCTAATAATTCTTCTATCAAATCGTGCTTATCAAAAGCAGTTGAGTAGATTAGTGTTGAAGTGGCGTGTTCAGACGCTCTTCCCTTTGCGAGTGAGCGTAAGGGACATACTGTTAGTTTTAGTTGCGTTAGTAGGGATAGCGAGCGATCAATGCCTCAAAAAAGTGTTAGTTTTCTGCAAAAGTTGTGGCTAGTTGAGCTCATAGTTGTGCCCGAACTTCCAACTCATATGTCTTATCAGTGGAGGTCATAATGAGCAATTAGGTCATGTTGGGCAACCTTGTGGTGTTATCCTTTGCATGGGACACAAATGATCTCTGTTGCGATCTGTACAACTCCCCTCTATCTAGGAGAAGTAGGTACGATAATTTAGCCGTTCAGGCAGGTTGAGTACGACTGCATAGTAGAAGGGGAACTAGATGCTCAGAAGACGATGTGGCTTGTTTCGCTGCAAAATGCGCGAAGGGCTCTGCAAAGTCCCATAAAAAATGCGATTCCGCTTCTAATGGACGTAGAGGAACAGTAGTGTGTTCGATGCTGGCAGTGTATTGTAATAGTTTGCTTAAACATTAAAACGTTCAATTAAGCGGGCGTATTCAAAATAGGCCGAAGTGGTGTAATACCAGATGACGTTGCTTACCACACCCATGGTTA